AAAGATTGAACCAAAGACTGAACTTCTAAATTGATCTTTATAATAAGCTAAAACATATATTCTTAAAGCTCAAAGTTATTTTTTATTCCTAATGAGATGTTACTTGAATAAAATCACATAAAAAAGAATATGTACAGATTATTTTATTATTTATGTATTTGATAACATACTTGATAGAAGGAAAATTTTGCCCAAGCATGAGATTATACCCAGATGCTTTTTATCATTAAGAACTTCTGTCTAGTGTTTTTTCTAGATTTGCAGCATAATAATCAGTATCCTTTATTGTATGCCTATTATAGCCAGGACGTTTGCAAGTGTTTAATTGGAGAAACATATTAGTATAGGGGTATAATTATGGTCTTCGTGGTTGAATGTGAATTCAACTTCCATTGCTGTTGTTTATTAGTGTTGTGGAAATTTATTAAGTTTTGTGAGCATAGATTTCCTTCTTTGTAAAAAGAGGATTATAGTATCTCTCTATAAAATTATTTGTGTGGTTAACTGGTACAAGCCATGTAACCTCACGTTATATATAATGTGACTATATTGTGATATATATGTATATATATTATGCGTATAAAATAAAATACATATGTAATAGCTCATGTTGTTTCCTTTCAGTTCTCATTTCATTTCTATGTGCCAGGCTCTTGCCCTCCAAGAGTTCTGAAATTTGGCTAAGGTCACCAACTGGATTGCTGGGACTCAAACCCACTTCATTCAGATTCAAAATCCACAGCCTTTCTAATGTACCATACTGCCATGTATTACAGTCACTTTTCTCTCTGGCACAGCATGATACAGCAGTGTGCTGATGGTTCTTTTCAGTCCCTCTAAAGGGCTTTTATCTGAAAGTGTTCTCCCAGAAGTCTTCCTATATTCTTTTTCTAAAAGTTTGTACTCATTTAGGTTCATTCTGGTTAGTGTTATGCTCCAAGTTAGCCTATATTCTTAGCCTACAAACCTGATTTCTACTTGGAGAAAAAAATTACCATATAACTATTAATATAAAGGGAATCTATACTAGTTTTTGTTAAATGTAAGCATGAAAGGTGGTTTTTCTGTAGGAGAAAAAAAAAAATGTGTGAATTTCATTCAGTCCCTGCATTGTACTTAGGTCTTTTTAGGCTGCATATTTGGAAAATGAAGGAAATATCCCTATACTTTTTACTTTGAGAACTACAAGGGACCCTATGCTGTAGTAGCAGAATCAGATTGCTCTATTTAAATCCCATCATTATTTATCCAATAGTTCCAAACTTTGAAGTGTCAAATCAATTGTGCTGTGTTTCAATAGTAATTTGTTGCTAAAAAGTAGTCAAAGTACTGATGTTTTCAGATGATATACTTTTTAATTAAAAAATATTTTGTAGATTAGATATGATTCCAGGTTGTTACAGTAATTATAGCATTGTCACGTATTTGTGCTTTTACATTTTCTCTGGTAAGAAAAAGGTAGAATTACATATAGAGTCATAGATATATTCAAAAGTGAATTACTTATGTGAATGCCACCTCATTAGTCTCCATCAGGAAAAAAAAAAAAAGAAAAAAAACTAATTCAGTACAATAACTTTGGGTAACAACTGTGTGCTGAAATTTAAAAATATGTATACAGATGGCCCCCTACTTACAATAGTTCAACAAGATTATTCTTTACCATGGTGCAAAATCAATACACATTCAGTAGAAAGAAAGCAGTATGATGCTCTCTCCTGATGCTGAACAGTAGCCAGAGCTGCCTGTCAGCCACAGGATCACTAGGTAAACAACTGATACTCTGCAGCGTATTGTGTTGCCAGATTATTTTGCCCAACTCTAGGTTAATGGCAGTGTTCAGAGCAAACTGTGTTGCCAGATTATTTTGCACAACTCTAGGTTAATGGAAGTGTTCAGAGCAGAATAAGGTAGGCTAGAGTAAGCTGTGACTTTCCTTAGGTTAGGTATATTAAATGCATTTTTTGACTTATAATGTTTTCAACTTACAGTTTATTTATCAGGATGTAACCCCACTGCAAGTTGAGCATTTTATAACATATTTCATCAATCGCTATATATCTGTATTTACCTATATCTGTAAATACACATACACACACATACACATGCACACATACACATACACACAAGCTCAGAGAGAAATGCTCTGAGCAATAGGACGCTAGTGTCTGGAATACTTCATTTCTGAAGAAAACAAAAGAAAATCCTGTGTGTTTCTTTTTCAACATTTATTTTAGATTCAAGAGTTACATGTACCTGTTTGTTACCTGGGTGTATTGGGTGATGATGAGGTTAATGGTACAAATGATCCCGTCAACCCAGGTACTGAGCATAGTACCCAACAGTTCATTTTTCAGCCCTTGCCACCCTTCTTCCCTCTCTCCTCTAGTAGTCAGCATTGTCTGTTGTTGACATCTTTATGTCCATGAATATCCAATGTTTAGGTCACACTTGTAAGGGAGAATATGTGGTATTTGCTTTCTGTCCCTAAATTAATTTGCCTAGGATATTGGCCTCCAGCTACATCCATTTTGCTGCAAAGCATATGACTTCTGTTTTGTGGCTATGTGTATTCCACGGTGTGTATGTGCAACATTTTCTATATCCAGTTACTGTTGATGAGCACCTGTGTTGGCTCCATGTCTTTGCTATTCCGAATAATGCTGCGATGAACATGGAGTGCATGTGTCTTTTTGGTAAAATGATTTATTTTCTTTTGGGTATATACCCAATAATGGGATTGCTGGATCCAGTGGTAGTTCTAAGTTCTTTGAGAAATCTCCAAACTGCTTTCCACAGTGGCTAGAACTAGTTTACATTCTCACCAACCATGTATAAGCATTCCCTTTTTTCCACAGCCTCACCAACATCTGTTGTTTTTTGACTTTCTAATAATAGCCATTGTGACTAAAGTGAGATGTTATCTTATTGTGCTTGTCATTTGCATTTCTCTGATGACTGCTGGTGTGGAGCATTTTTTCATTTATGTTGGATAGTTGTATGTCCTCTTTAGAAGTGTCTGTTCATGTTCTTTGCCCATTTTTTAGTTGTTTTTTGTTTGTTTGTTTGTTTGTTTTTTTGCTTGTTGGTTGATTTAAGTTCTTTGTAGATTCTGGATATTAGACCTTTGTCAGATGCATAGTTTGTGAATATTTTTTCTCTAGGTTGCCTGTTCACTCTGTTGATAGTTTCTTTTGCTGTGCACAAGCTCTTTAGTTTAATTAGGTCCCACTTGTCAATTTTTGTTTTTGTTGTGATTATTTTTGATTTTTTCCCAAGCCCAAATTTTTTCCCAAGCCCAAAATCCAGAATGGTGTTTTCAAGGTTTTCTTTTAGGATAATTACAGTTTGAGGTCTCATACTTAAATCTTTAATCCTTCTTGATTTGATAATTTTTATATATGGTGAAAGCTAGGAGTCAAGTTTCATTCTTCTGCATGTGGCCAGTCAGCTATTCTAGCACCATTTATTAAATAAAAGTTATTCAATAAAATGTTGTTTAATAAATTTCCCAATTGCTTGTTTTAGTTAACTTTGTCAGATATCAGATATCTTTAGGTGTGCAGCTTTATTTCTCAGCTGTCTATTCTGTTCCATTGGTCTGTGTATCTGTTTTTGTACCAGTACTATGCTGTTTTGGTTACTGTAGTATCATACTGAAAATTCAGGTAATGTGATGCCTCTGGCGTTGTTCATTTTGCTTAAGATTGCTTTGACTGTTCAGGCTCTTTCTGGGTTCCCTATGAACTTTGGAATACTGTTTTTCCAATTCTGTGAAAAATAATATTAGTGCTTAGATAAGAATATCATTGAATTTTTAGATTGTTTTGGGCAGTGTGGCCATTTTAATTACTTTGATTCTCCCAATTCATGAGTATGGATGTTTTTTCATTTATATGTTTTATGATTTCTTATGGCAGTGTTTTACAATTATCCTGCTAGAGATCTTTCACTCCCTTGGTGGTTAGATTTATTCCTAGGTGTTTTTTTTTTTTTTTTTTTTTTTTTTTTTTTTTTTTTGTTTTTTTTTTTTTTTTTTTTTTTTTTTTTTTTTTTTGCGTGTCGGTCTTGTGAATGGGATTACATTCTTCACTTGGCCCTCAGCCTGAATGTTGTTGGTGTATAAATATGCTACTGATTTTTGTACATGATTTTGTATCCTAAAACTTTACAGAATGGGTTTATCAGTTTCAGGAGCCTTTTTATAGAGTATTCAGGATTTTCTAGGTATAGAATCATATGGTTCTTGAAGAGAGATACTTTAACTTATTATCCCATTTGGATGCCTTTTCTTTCTTTCTCTTGCCTGATTGCTCTGGCCAGCTCTTCTAGTACTATGTGAAATAGGAGTGGTGAGAGTGGACATCCTTGACTTATTCCACTTCTCAAGGAGAATGTTGGCAGTTTTTGCCCATTCAGTATGATGTTGGCTGTGAATTTGTCATAGATGGCCCTTATTATTTTGAGGAGTGCTCCTTCGATGCCTAGCTTCTTGAGGGTTTTATCAGGAAGGGATGCTGAAGAAAATCCTGTGTTTGGAGATTGTCAAAAAGAATTAATTTAATAAATGACATTATAGAGATGATTTTAGTAATGCAACACTTTTAAGGGGAATACTAATTTCACAATTACTACAGAACAATTTTGGATAATTAATAATAAATTGTGGCATTGAGGCTGGAAAATAATTATTTACAGCTTGACTGCTTTGTTATGAGTCACTTACTTAGTTATCATATTCCAAAGTAGGATCTACTTTTATTCCTCAGATTCTAATTTTCATTTTATATGACTGTAAATATATGTAACTATAAATATATTTTTGCCAAGTTCTTACCATGTAAAACTGCCTATCTGATGCTATCCAATATGTACTGTAATATATTTGCTCTTAACGTTTGAGAAAATTGGTCACATTAAAAAATATAACCCAAATGGAAAACAAACTCCTTTTATGAGGTTATTTCATTAATAACAATTCTTGTTTACTTATATTCTAGGACGCAAATCAATTTCACAGTGGCTATTGACTTTACAGCATCAAACGGTGAGTGTTTTGATTATCTGTTGATAAAAATCAGCAGCAATTACATGAAAAATAAATTTGTATTTTCGCGAGGGTGCTTTTGTTCATATATTTACATATTTCTGACATTTTGCATATAAAATATACATACTTTTTAAATATGAAATAGTTCAAATATACAAAAGACTAGAAATAACATAAAAATGCTAATAGTCTCTTTCAGACTTGTTAAATATTAAAATACTGTCATTATTGCTTTACATGTGTTTAAAAGAATACAAATTTTAGATGTACTGAAGCCCACTGTATATCTCTGATCCATTCTCCTACCGCTGTTCTTTCCCATATATAATTCTGAAGTATATCAAATTATAATCTTCATTTTATAGTACTTTTGTATGTATGAATTTATATAAATGTAATTCAATAGTATCTGTTCTTTATAAAGTTGGTTAACTTTTAATCAATTAGTAATTTTTAGTAATTACTCATGTTAATGTATTAATATCTAATTTACTCAGAGGGACTGATATATAACCATCCATGTATAGATATTCATAATTTATATATTAAAGCTTTTAAGAAAAAAATTTAGTGGGCTTTTATTTTGACGCAGTTTTATTTCAAACAGAATAATCATTTGAAATTAGTTATGTATCATCAGAATGTGAACCTCATTATGTAACTTTTACCAGAAGTTGCCACTAGTTTATATTTGTCTATTTTTTCTTTCAAATGGCTTATTATGTCTGTGGATCTCACCTGGTATTCCTTTTATTTCATTTTTTATCTTGCAATTATTCACATTTTACAAAATAATGGAAATTTTAGGGAAGAAAGCACCTTAGAGATCACTTAATTCAATCTTCCTCTTATACAAATAAGGACACTCAGATCCAGGGAATCCTTTTACTAATAAACACACTTGGCTTGTTAGTTCTAGAGTCAGAACTACAGATAAGACCAGATTCTAATTCAGCTTTCACTACATGTCACGTTCATTTTCCAACATTATGGCTTCCAATGAATGATTTTTATTCATGTTTTATTAAGCATAATATAGAATATAGAAATAATAGCTAAGGCTAGGCATGATGGCTCACACCTATAATACCAGCACTTTGGGAGGCCGAGGCAGGCAGATCATCTGATGTCAGGAGTTTGAGACCAGCATGGCCAACATGGTGAAACCCCATCTCTACTAAAAATGCAAAAATTAGCCAAGTGTGGTGGTGCACACCTGTAGTCCTAGATACTCAGGAAGCTGAGGCAGGAGAATCACTTGAACACAGGAGGCGAAGGTTGCAGTGAGCCAAGATTGTGCCACTGCACTGCAGACTGGCCAACAGAGCAAGACTCCATCTCAAAAACAAAATAAAACAAACAACAAAATAATACCTAAAATCCAGTTGCTTTAAAATACTATATTTTGTTCACTGATGAATGTTAGCACAACAATTAAGATAAGCAAGAATTTATTCAATAAAAAGACAAACATTTCTCACATTGATTTGAGAAGAAACAGATAATCAGAGTAGACCTATAACAAGTAAAATGTTGAATTAGTAGTTTTTAGAAGACTACCCACTAGGTTAATCTAAACCCAAGGCCAGGTAGCCTCACTAGTAAATTCTACCAAATATCTAAAGAATAATTAATACCAATTCTTCACAAACTCTTCCAAAATATAGAAGAAAGTTACTTTCCTAGCTCATTTTCTGAGGTCCGTATTATCTTGATATCAAGAGATTTATATGCCTAACAAAGTAAGATTTGTCGTTGGAATGAGAGTATTTTTAATATTTAAAAATCAAATAATATAACACACCTGTATTAGTCTTCTCTCATGCTACTAATAAAGACATATTCAAGACTAGATAATTTTAAGGGATAGGGGTTTAATTGACTCAGTGCCACATGGCTGGGGAGGCCTCATAATCATGGCAGAAGGTAAATGAGGAGCAAAGTCATGTCTTACATGGTGGCAAGCAAGAGAGCATTTGCAAGGGAACTCCCCTTTATAAAACAATCAGATTTCATGAGACTTATTCACTGTCATGGAAACAGCATGGGAAAGACCCACCTCCATGATTCAATTACTTCCCACTGGGGCTCTCCCATGGCACATGGAAATTAAAGGAGCTACAATTCAAGATTAAATTTGGGTGGGAACACAGCCAGACAATATCAACATCCTATTGATAGAAGAAAACACAGAAACCATATGATCATCTCAATTGATGCAGAAAAAGCAATTTTACAAAGTCCAATCCACCTTCATGTTAAAAACACTCAACAAACTAGAAATGGAGACTTCCTAACCTGATGAGGGAATCTATGTAAAGTCTACAACTAACATCCTACTTAGTGGTGAAAACATTGACATTTTCCTCCTGAGATGAAAAACAAGACAAAAATATATGCTCCCACTTCTTCAACATTATACTGGAGGTTGTTGCCAAAGCTATCAGGGAAGAAAACCAAATACAAAATATCCAGATGAGAAAGGGAGAAATGAAAGTATCCTTATTGCAGATGACATGATCTTGTATATAGAAAATCCTAAGGAATCCACCGAAAATCTACGGTAACCAATAAATATGCAAGTTTGCAGGATACAAGATCAATATATAAAACTCAGTTCTTTTTTATGCATTTCCAAGAAACAATTAGAAAATGAAATTCAGAAAACAATTCCCCTTATCATAGTATCAAAAGGAATAATATACTTATGAATAATTTAGCAATTCTAGTTCTGGAAATATATATAATATAGATTTACCTGCACTCAAGGAAAATGCCATAGTGTATAACATCATTCATAGTAATTTGTAAAAAGTAAAAAAAAAAAAAAGTTTAGAAAGCTTCATAGAGTATATCAGCTGGGTACTGGTGAAATAAACAGTGGCTCAGCCACAGAATGAAACACTATGCAGCCACGAAAAGAAAAGAAAAGAAAGGGGAAGGAAGGAAGGAAGGAAGGGAGGGAGGGAGGGAGGGAGGAGGGAAGGAGGGAAGGAAGGAAAATGGACTCTTTCTACTAATATGGAAAGACTTCTAAGATATATTGTTAAATGTAAAGAGCAAAGTAGAGAACAGAGTTATCAATTATCAGTGTGCTATCTTTTATATAGGAATATAAATTATATAACATAAATAAATGCATAAATATTAGAAGTACATGTAACAAACTAACAAAAAGTGATCAGACTAATGAATTAGGTGAACTAAGAACTTCTTTATGGAAATCTTTTTATAGTATACTGATTATGAAATTGTGAATGCTTGTTCATAAAATAAATATGATTAAAAGAATGGAAAACGAAAGAAGTACAAAACATAAAGCTCAAAAACTCTGAAACAAAATAAGTGCAAACTATTTTCTGAAAAAAAACATTGTTGAAATAAATTAAATATCAAAATAAAAACAAGCCATGCTCATGGATTAGAAGACTCCACATTGTTAAGGTGGCAATGTTTCCCAAACTGATCTACAGTTTTAAAGCAATCAGTATCAAAATCTGAAAGAACTTTTTGGAAGAAATATATGAATTTATGTAATATGAATTATATAAATTAATATGAGATTAATTTAAAGCAATCTTTATCAAAGTTTGAAAGGATTTTTTGGAGGAAATTCATATGTAAATTAATATGAAATTGCAAAGGACCTAGAAGAGCCAAAGCAAACTTGAAAAACAGCATTGAAGTGGGAAGAGTCACATTTCTCACTGTTAAACTTTACTACAAAGCAACAGTAATTAAGGCAGTGTCCCACTGGCATAAAGAGGGTTATATGGCTCAACAGAATTGAAACACGTTTGCAGAAGTAAACCCCTGTGTCTAAGGTCAACTAATTTCTTTTTTTTTTTTAATTTTATTTTTATTTTTTATTTTTTTTTAAGAGAGAAAGAAAGAAAGAGAAAGAATAAAAAAGAAAGAAAAAAAAAAGAATGAAGGAGAGGAAGAAAGAGGAAGAGGGAGAGAGAACAGGGGTGTTGCTTTATTGCCCGGGCTAAAATGCAGTCTAAAAATGGGCATGCCTGTAATTGTGTTTAATAATAGAGACATTAAAAAAAAAAAAATGAGGGAAGAAAATAACAAGCAGCCAACCAATATTTCATTTAAACCTATAAATAGGTGTGATATGTGGTACTGATAAGAGTGTATATTTTGTGTATTTAAAGTGGAGCGTTCTATAAATGTTAATTAAGTCTACTTGTTCCGGTTCTGAGTTCAAGTCCTGGATATCGATGTTAACTTTCTGTCTCATTGATCTGTCTAATACTGACGTTGAAGTCTCCCACTATTATTGCGTGGGAGTCCAAGTCTCTTTATAAGTCTTATATATCTGGGTATTCCTGTATTGGGTGCATATATATTTAGGATCTTTAGCTCTTCTTGTTACATTGATCCTTTTATCATTATGTAATAGCCTTCTTTGCTTCTATTGATCTTTGTTGCTTTAAAGCCTATTTTATCAGCAAAAATTGCAGCTCCTGCTATTTATTTATTTTTGCGCTCCATTTGGTTGGTAAATTTTTCTCCATCCCTTTGTTTTGAGTCTTTGTGTTTCCTGGCGTGTGAGATGGATCTGGATGTAACATACCAATGGGTCTTGGCTTTTTTTGCCTGTCTGTGTCTTTGGATTGGGGGATTTAGTCGATTTAAATTTAGAATTAATAACAATATATGTGAGTTTGATATTGCCATTTAATGTTAGCTGGCTGTTTTGCCCATTAGTTGATGCAAGTTCTTAATTATGTTGATGTTCTTTATTTTTTGATTTTTTTTTAGAAAGGCTGATACTGGTTGTTCCTTTCTATTTGTAGTGGTTCTTTCAGAAGCTCTTGGAAAGCAGACCTGGTGGTGATGAAATCCCTGAGTGCTTGCTTGTTCACAAAAGATTTGATTTTTCCTTCACTTATGAAGCTTAGTTTGGCTGGATGTAAAATTCTGGGTTGAAAGTTATTTTCTTTAAGGATGTTGAATATTGGCCCCCACTCTCTCCTGGCTTGTAG